TCCCTTCTATCCCAAACTATCCCTTAAAGAATTTTCTCTACAGTAAGAACCAGTATTTGTAATCTCACTTCACGTCTGGACTCCAGAGTAAGATAAAATTCTACAAGCTTGCTGTGTAAGATGTATTTAAAGTTCTATGTTTCAGTTTAATAAGCCACTCCCCTTCATGTAAACCAAATATTACTCATTAATACTCGTGCCTCATCTAATCCTCCCCACATTGTCACTGTGACAGTTCACTGTGAGAGAAAGCCATCAATTTATGTAGTAAAGATCTTTCCTAAAGATTGAACATTAGTCACAAATGCACACATGCACACCCACCCACCGCACCATTGCCAGGAGATTAAGTTTTACAATATAATTCCATTCTTCACTAGAAGTCTAATCTTGAATACTTTCTTCCTTCGAAGAAGGTGGCATAGTAGAAAAGCTGAGTTTCTTTACAAGGATTCCTTTCACTGATGGTAATTTACACACATAAGTGGTATCTTAAATGTGTCAAATGCAGGAGTGTTAAAGAACAAAGTAAAACAAAACAAATACCTGAGCTATTTTACAGAACAGTAGCCCACACAACAATAAAAATTACTGTGGATAAGTGTTCTTTTTAGTAATTACTGGATTTATGGTTGTTTTATAAGGATGTACCCTACTTGCTGCCAGGCCAGAAGCAGTCTTCAGAATATATTAGCTTTCCCAACTTTCCCTTTCACATCATACACAGAGAAGTTGTCTGTATACAAGCAAGTTACGTCAGCACATCTGTCCTTGAATAACCTGCACAAAGTGTCTCATTATTCTTTCTTCAGTGAGTGTTATTAATAAAAAGATTATATAGATAACTATCTAAAATAGGAGGTCTGGTTACATTCAGACGGTAGCAATGTCAAGATAAGCAGATAGCAACAGAGAATCCAAATGTGAAGTTAACATTTTCATTCAAAAACAAGCCAATCAAAGTAATCAGTGTTTTATATTCCCTCATAAAAGCTTGCCCTATTACGCATAATACACGCAAAGTTAACTGCAGTGAAGGAATCAGATGATTGCTTCCTAACTTAACTCTTTCTCTGAAACTTAAGCAGAAATCAGACTTTCCTAAAGGGAACCTCTTCTTCAAAGCTTTAATTCAGAGCTGAGCGCTGGAGCAAGGGGTAAGACAAGATGACCTCCTCATGACACAAATGATTCTCTAGTAACCCAGTAACACTGCCGGGTACAAGTCAAATTAGACCATAACCATTCCTGATGTGCCATTTCACTGAAGTTCAAAACACGTCATTCCAGTCACATTTTCCAACGTTTAAATGTACAGAGGATGTAGGAAAACACAGACTCCAAGAACACAGATTTAAGTTACACTAAAGTATGCATTCTGCTTGAAACATTTTTTAAAAAACCGCAGCATTTTGCATGCCTCAAACACTAATAGTGTGCTATTCTCTTAAGAGTGTTCAACAAGTCCCTTGTATGGGGAAAGTTCCTTTTAATGTTACATATCCCAGAGTTTGTACTCTCAGGTACGTACATGCATACAGATTTGTGGACCTCATGCAGAAACAAGGATGGCCCAATTTTACCATTGCTGTACTATCATATGAAAACCCATTCAAAATTAAATTATATCTAAGGACCTCAAGGCACTACTTACTTCTGCAAGAGTGAGTTTTTGAATTTTTCAGCATTCAGTTCTATCCGGAGCTGCTCTGCGCTCTTCTTTGCGGCAGAGAGAAGCACTGAATGCTTGACTAGTGCCACAGCCGAAGGCCTCTTCTCTGGATCAGGATTAATCATAACCTTGGAAAAAAGAAAATAAGGCATTCTAGTTAAGGCCAGTAAATTACACTAATCAGTAATCCACTAGTACATGAGTTCTTACTTTCAGTAAGTCTAGTAATTCTTGAGAAAGCACTTGTGGTATTCTAGGTAGTTTTCCTTGTCGAATTTCATGCCATTGGTCCCCATTAGTTGGAAGTGGTTCGGCTCCAGCAGCACAGACAACAGTCAGAGCAAGAGCAAAGATATCTGCTTTCGGCAAATGAGTGTAGTTCTTGAAAAACAAAGAAAAATAAGTTTACTACGCATACCATCCAGTGTAAGAAGAAATCTAACAGATGACTAAACAATTGAGCACTGAACACACCCACAGTACTACATTCCCCTTTAAGTACCACCAGTGTTCAAGGGCATACCATTGAGGAAGTTTCTCCTCCAGCCAGGAGGTGGTAAACAACTCATTACTCTAAAGAACACAACCTGCAGACCCAACATCACTGTTTTCCACAAACAGAACAGTTACCTCCTGTAGGACTTCATTGGCAAGAAAACGGCTATCACCTTCCTCCACTTGCGGACTAGACACTCGAGTTACATGACCAAGGTCACCTGAAGAAAATAAAGTTGTTTTTCAGAAGACAAACAGACGATGCAATTGTTTTGAGCACAAGTGGGCTGCTTCTCACCTATTTTAAATATGACTCTATCAGATGACCAGTCATCGTCATCAGCTTCTTCTGAAGTTGTACTTGGGACCGATGTCCTGGATATGAAAATATTACCTGAAAAAAGAGCAGAACTGTTAAAAAACCCTGTCCAATTTCTACTTCATCTAGTTTCACCAGTTTGCTTTAGCCGCACAGAAGTTTAGCTGTACACATAGGCAGTTTGTGGAGTGAGAGACTATTAACTTACTCACTCAGGCCCTTCTGCTGGGAAGGGAGCCAAGTGCTATGCAAGTAGATTTAATTACACAAAAAAGACACAAGATAAACTCAACACCACTTCAAGCGTGCTAGCCAATTTTATAACTGACACCTTTGTACTGCTATTTAGAACTTCAGTGAAGAATTTACAGTTAGTAAGGTGTGGCTAACCGCTCATCTTTTTAGAGATTAAATTAACTGAGGAAGTTGTCAACGCAGAGTAAAGTGGTTTACAAACTTACTGGGTTTGATATCCATGTGTACCAGTGACATTGAATGAATGTACTTTAAGCCTCGAGCCACTTGAAGCAGCAGGTCCTTCAGCTCTGGTTCCGTAAAATAACGCATATTCCTGTAATTTTCACTTATGGCATCTGCTAAACTGCCACCTAAAACAGCATTAAACAAAATGCCCTAATTATTTCACATCAAACAGTTGACAAAGTAAGGACAATTTGCTTCCAAAAGTAAGTACAACCAGCTTCCAAAATTAATAGAGCATCTATCACCAAGAACTTGCTGATTATACACAGAATTCTAAAGTCTAGTGCTGTGTCCCCTCTTCATAGCCATGTAATACAAAAAAACATTTTTCTGCTGTAGTTGCCATACAAATTAACAGGACACCAACACAAGCAAAAAGACCTCTCTCCCTCTTCTAAATCTCTGGCAAGGTGTCAGCCACAGCAAAAAGCTTCAGACACCAGGTTCACCCCCCTTTTTAAAGGAAACTCTGGTAATTTTCTCTATTCCAGCTTGTATTATTGTGCAGAAGAAAGAACAGTTTTGTTGCTCGCATATGCCTCATTGAGCATCCAATATTCTTGAACACTTAAGAATTTGTCTGCAATTTTGTAGCGTTTTAGCTTCATGTATCTGATATGCCTTTTCCAACAAAAAGGAACATCAGACACATTTGAGACAACAATGGTATGAGCTATGCATATGGCAATCAAGTCCTAACTAGCACTAGGAATTTATAGATACCTGTGTATCTTCAAAAACTAGATTTTTTTTTTTAAATCAAGTTCAGAGCCACCGATAAACTTTACTTACCATTGCAGTATTCATTCTGTATAAGCATATGATCATCTTCTGCCCACGCAGAGTAATATCTTACTACGTGAGAATGCTGTCCCAGAACTGCATGTGCATAGACTTCTCTTAAAGCGTTTTGCCTGTTACAGTCACAAAAAGTAACAGCACACAAAAATATTATGAGGTGAAATTGGTCCAATTTCAGCTTGATAGAAACACTTATAATATCACGCCCCTCTGCCAGCTCAGGTGTTTTAGCCAGGAGTATGACTGAACTCAACACTCCTTGTGTGTAAGTCTGGTGTGCAATTCTGAGCAACTCAAACTTGTGTAGTTTTATAACTATTAGAACAGCAGGGGGGAAAAAGACATGAATTGCAGGCTCATTCACAAATGCCAAAATAATCCCCTAGTTGAGAAGATTGCTTTCCTTTCACATCCCAAAAGATCATCACTGCAGTTTATTCACAGTTCCTCCTGCCATTAATGCAGGTATTATTCTCACTTTTCATGAGAACAGTCTGCTTCCACACAGAATATTGGGACAAATGTCTGCTAGAAGAAAGGCCAAGTAGCTTTTCCTCCCCAGTACTGCAGAGTATTCAGGAAAACAAACAAACAAAAAACCAGAGTAAATTGACTTCAAAATTCTCTCTGTTTTACATTTAATTCACATGTATTTATACTTTCCTCTTAAATGCCTTCTCTGGACACCAATACAAAGAGACATGAGAGAAAAAAGCACCAATAAGTGACTTTTAATAGCAAGAAATACTCACTCATCCACTGAGCCAGCTAAGGGTTTCTTAGATCGCTTTATTGCATAAATACAGCCATCAAGCCTCTTCACACATTTAAACACAGAACCAAATTCACCAGATCCGATCTTCTCCAACTCATGAAATTCAGTTGCATATCGTGACTTCATATTACTTTCTGTTATTGTTATCCTCTGCAAAAAATAGAGAGGAGAACACTTAGATCTGCAGATACACAGCCAGCCAAACTCATAATCAAGTTCTAGAGATTAATTACCTTAGCAGGTCTGATAGTTTCATCTTCAGGCTCTCCATCGCTTGCTTCCATGTCCTCTCCACAAGAGCTGAAATTCACACCAGTTACTTTTGCAGAAGTAATATGGCTTAAGTAAACTTAAAACTGAAATCTATCAGCTGGTGATTTTTCTGAGACCTAATCCTCCCATTCTACTCAAGTTTAGTTTAATTCATAGAATGCTAGACATTTGTAAGCACAAATTCCTACAATAAAGGTACCATGCTAGTGTCTTAGTATGAAACATGAAGGAAGAAGTGAAAATTTAATGTGTTTTT